GAATTTTCAAGGTTTTTACTTGAATGACTAATGTAATGCAGTTTACTTTTTCGGGATTTACAAATTTCTTTAAGTGTGGCATTCTATAACTAAATTTATCTTTCAATAATATCAGTGATAATAATGCATTATATAGTAATAATAATTGGTAGATAGGAACTATAATAATATGTGTTTTAATTTATTTAGTCTTAAAAATCTTTCCTTCATTGAATCTTCCAAAAAAAAAGAACTGCACTTCATAAACATTTAAAGCATTTCATAAACATTAAGCATTAAAGAAATTAATAATTATTATTTCTATATTGGAGCTATCAATTTGTAAGTATCGATTATTGCACAATCAATTTTCATTTTAGTATTACCAAAACTAGTTACCAAAACTCTTTGACTAATAAAACAAAGTTCTAATTTTTCTATAATTATTTAATAAAAATTCCTCACTTTCTCTATTTTTAGATGCTATTATTTATATAGTCCTTTAGATAATACTTACCGTGTTTAACGTATAATTTACTAATTTTGAAAATTTCAAACTCAAAATGTCTTGTGATTTTATGAATGAATAATTTGTAATGTTTATAGAAATAATGATTCTCATAGAAAAGAAATTCTTTATCATGTTTTATTTCACTTTTTTATTGCAAAAGTTCTTGATTATATAATATTGGCCTGCATGTGTCAAAGACGCATGTGAGCAAAATATTCGCTATACATATCGAATTTTAAATCATTTGCAAACATTTTGCCCATTAAGACTTCCAACGACGATCACTAAGATTGCGCTATACTAAAAATAAACCGAAATTATAACAAATTATTACAAATTTATTTTTTTTAAACATTTATTAGACGACTTTTACATACATAAACTTAAGTATATTTATGATAAATGTAATCTTTTATTACAATTGTCCTTTAACTTTAGAGGATTTAGACATTTTTATGGTATTTTTCCTCTTCAGCAAATAATTTCGTACACAATATATTTCACTTTTATTTGCAATAATTTTCTCATTACTTTAAATCCAAATCAAAAATACAACTTTTAAATACTTTACAAAATGAAAACCTTAACATATAATAAAAATGTATTGTTTGATATTTAAATAACATTATGTAAGTTGAAATTAATCTTTGTTACTTACTTTGGTCTATCATTACTGAAAAACACATTTTGCAATATTCCTGCTGGAAATTCTGGAGGAAAGATATTAGGCAATGAGCAAAAAGAAAATTGTTAAAATAGAAACAAAAATGCTTTTAAACTAAGATAGCATTAAATTTTTAAGTACTTGCAGGTATGCATAAAAGACGCAGTCAAAATAACATAATTTTTTTTAGTAAAACAGGTTTACTAGAGGAAAATGGCAAATATAATAAACCGTGCAATATAATAACATAATAAACCGTGGTAGCTTGAAGGGATGAACTGTGAACCACGATACCGTGAGAAAGCCAAGCATATATTTATAAATTATGTTTAAACAGTGATACCAAGCATCAAAAACAATTCCATCTGCATCGCAACAACACGTCTTGTCTCACAGAAATTTCAATATACGTATTTTTGTTCAGTAAACCCATTCTAGTGGATCCTCATCTAGACCTTACTCCCCGGACTTGAGTGATGATTGATACTTCATTTCAAGGGACATTATTTTGGGACACTGGAATAACCAATTAAAGGCTATAACCAATTAAAGGAAGATTCCTCCATTGCAGTTAATGAAAAGGAGCCTACTGCAGTGACTCCTAAAGTTGTATCCGTTTTACCAGCAAAAGTCACCGAGGTTGAGGATACATCGGCAACACCGTGACTAGTCAAAGAAAATAAATTAACGAAGCCCAACATGGAAAAAGAGGAACAGAGCACACCGGCTGATCCTGACTCAAAACCAACCGGCAGCAGACCAGCCATAAGAGACTTCTGTTCCTCCAGTCGTTGAGCTAGCTCCAATGAAAGTGGATACCCTCAAAAGATTTTTAAAATCTTACAAATGCAGTCTTCCAGCTGACATCCAGACAGAATAGATTTCCATGGAATAAGCAAAATTCCGTATAGAAATTTCCAAAGTCGTCCAGTTCAAGCGTGGAGTTGGCAGGACCAACGAGATCCTCCCACAATTGCTCATCATCATCCTGGACAATACTAAGACCCAATCAGTACTCACCTACGTCAGCTCATCGGCCGTCCAATTCGAATTGAAAGATTCAAGGGAGGACGTTTCCAGATTCAATGACACCGCTGCCAAAGATTATTCTATGTTCAGTCTACCTGCAGAAACATACCGAAGTGTGTGAAGTACGCCAACTTTCATCTCTCCTTTGAATACTCCAGAGATGAGACTTGACCACCCAAGTACAGCAACTTCTTAGGTAAACATACCGACAACAACTTGGGATGCAAGTTCCGACCCAATAGGAAGCGACCAACCACAGTGAAGCAATTTTCTGTCTCTACGACACTGAGACAGCGTCTTATGGAGTTTTTCTTAGAACTGAAAAAGCTTCTCAAGATGCCTGAGATCCATCAGCTGTTCCAGAGTCTCATTTCAAATGAACTATTATGAATGAACATCTAACCTCTGCCATATTCCCATTCCTGGTTTATCATTGTTAACCTACATGTTCATCTTCAAAATTAACTTCATCGCCTCTAACACAGATGAATCGATTAGTGTCGTCTTCGGCGGCAGATGCTGAGATCTTGCATACTTCGTAAACTCATAAGAGGAAGACTATTCCAGTAATCAAGTTTCAGCACTGCTATGGGAAACGAAAGAAGGGTCTTAAACGTTGCGTGGAGTCTCAAGAGAATTCCGAGGTGAACAATGTTGAATTTTAATGAATGTTGATGACAGATCAGAATTTGTTGATGGCAGTTAAGAAATGAAAACGGGACGAGATGGAAAAAAATAGCATAGGTTATTACGTTCTCTTTTAACAATTTTCATCAATGCGTATGTATGTGTGACATGCAATATTAAAAAAAAAAACATTTTTTTTCTCCCAAAATTAGCTTCTTTAGTCTTATAAACTTTCATTTTTCAGCCAAATCAGTCAATTCCTTTTCAATTGAAAAATGACTTTAAAGCAATGTCATTTACTGTTTAATGCTACTTCCAAAAAAGTATGCCATGCTTAATTTCTTTGAAGAAGCTTTAAATAAACATTGATTAACTTACACAATTTATATTTTTTGAATAAATGCACTGCAAACTGAAATGAAGCATGAAACGTTGGTTTTTCGAGTTAGAGCAAAAAAAATCCACTATTTTCGTGTGAATAAAAGAGCAATTAAAATTTCGTTTTTAATTTGAATACAAGTTAAAATTAAATATATGTTTAACTACAAATGCTTCACTTATGGTTCTTTTTAAGATCTATACCCAAAATTTATAATACTCCGGAAGGAAAGTTTTTATTTTTATGGTAATATTTCGGCAAATAGATGTGCCGAATATCGATGTTTGAATATAAATGCATCAAAATAAAATTGAAAACATTTATGAAAGCAAACACACAAAAAATCCTTGTTAATCTACACATTTAATGATTAAATATTTCCAATAATTTTTATTTAAATAAAAAGAATAATAAAACAAACTTTTCCTATGCAATTGCACACATTTACTTGATTTTGAATATTCACATGAATATATGGAAAAATATTCATGTTATCAGAAATAAAGTGCTATAAAGCTGTAAATTTAATAAATGAATTAGGACATTTTTATTCTTTGAATTAATTTTATTGATTATCGCTCAGTTAAGGAATCTTACTTTTTCTTTTTCATGAAATAAACTTAGATTGAGCCTATTTCGAATGCACACATGTATTAAAAAATGGTAAAAGTATTCATGACTGAAAAAAATATAATAACTTTCATTGCGCTAGGAATTTAATAAATTGATGTAAATATTTAATAACAAATTTTCACTAAGATAAAAAGAAATATATAATAAGCATTACCTATGCTATTTTCTATGGGGTTATAAAATGCGTTGACTACCGCTGCTCCTGCATGATCCTTCCAGCTGTTGAAAGAAGTCAAATTCTTATTTAGATTCTTGGTCAAAATTAAAAATAACAATATGGTACATTTGTTTGAAATTTCAGGGTTTTATTTATAAAAAAGAAATGAAACAATGTGGTAAATATAAATTTTAAATAAATTTATTTTCTTTCGAAAGGAAAAGTGGAATAAAACTGGTTAAACTGGGTTGCTGGCTTATTGATGAATAGCTATTTGAATTAGAATTTGTGAAAATAAATAAAAATATTCATTGCTCATCTATGTTTAATTTATTACCGCATAAAGATTTGGTAAGGAAACGAAATTTGGATCATAGAGGCTGAGAATTTAACAACGAAGTGGCTTTGATTTATATTTTTCTAGTAATGCAAATTACATCAACTATTCGCTTGAAATCGGCACTAATTATGCTTCAATTGATTTACTCAATTATTTTCCTTATATCTATCTAGAAAATTTAATATTGATTCAATTGATGTGTTTTAATAGTTGAATAGTTTAGGAAAGTTGATCTTTTTTTAATACTCATCAGCTGCAGACAGCTGAAGAGATGTAATATTTTAAAGCGTTGTTTTAAAAAGTAAAACTTTTTTTTAATCGATAGATTTAGACTATTTCGCTGAGTTAGAATTTTCTAGTGATTACTATTATTACCTTTCGCAATACACAGATTCCTGTATATCTTTCTTAAAAACATAACTTAACTTTTTCGATATTGTAATTTTAAAATAATAATCTTTCTTTAAAATAACTAAACAGTTTTTGAAATGTTGCAGATATTAACTTGATTTGTGTTAGGTGTTTATAGTTTTAGTAGATATTCCCAATAAAAATATCAGCTAGTACTAAAAGAAAAAAGAAAAAAAGAAAAAAAGAAACAGCATTACAAAGGATCCCGCACAAATTTTATGAAAATTAATTCTCTGCCAAGTTGGCTGAAAATTTAATACATTGTAGCTTAAAACAATATGATTCAAAGATGTCATTCATTAAATCCAAAAATTGATAGTTTCCGAGATATGAAGTCTCAAAAATAGGTAGTGATTCTCAATAACCATCACTGCGTTAGCATTAACCAAATGTACGGAATGCGGAGGTTGTCAGATCTGATTTTTAAACATGTTATACTCTTTATAAGGGATGGCTGTTTAAACAAAAAGATACTTTGACAAATTAAATAATTGATGACTAGTTATGTATAAACATAACTAGTCATCAATTATTTGAATATCATTTAGATTTTATTGGTTAGGTTGATTGGTTGCATCAAAGCCTTATAAACAGTTAAGCATCAGTCGAAAACTTGAAGTGCTTTTAAACCGCTTGCGGATTGGCCACACACGAATAACTCGTAAACACCTTTTTCTAAACGAACCAGAACCAGAATGCACAAATTGTAAAGAACCTTTAACTGTTATACATATTTTGATCGAATGCAGTAAATTTAAAAACCAGAGATTGCGTTATTTTGGTACCTTCCATCCGTCATTGTTTTCACTAATTGGAGATGATTTTCACTCTAACATTTTCTCATACCTTAAGGATATTGGCATTTATACATCTATCTAGTTTTTAAACCAAAACAGAATTGTGAACCTAGCTGTAAAATATCTACCTAGTTGGAGGCGCGATATAGCCAAGACTGGCTCTTGCGCCAAAAACCCAAACAACCAACCAACCAGCATCAAAGGTACATTCTATTAACTTCATAGATGGATACTTGATGTAATATCTATCTCTTGCATATCCTGAAAACCATATAACACTCACATAAAACCATAAACCATATAATGTGTGCGAAAATACCGAATTTCCAATGGTGCGCGCAAGGGCGTGCTTCAAGGACTTTTCACCACAATGGCATCTCTTACGTTTGAGATGTTTCTCTTATGTATCATCTTTTATGTATCATCTCTTATGCATCATCTCTTATGTCTAAATCTCTTGTCTTTGAGGCTCCGAAATGCTAGCTTTTGTCAATAAGAGCTTTTGCTCATTCTATATTAAATTTTCAGCTAATTTAACTGAGAATTAATTTCTATAAGATTTGTGTTGGATCCCTTGGAAAATTTAAATGTACATGTAAAATAGAGTGGCTTATACAATATTTCAAATAATAATTATATTACCACAAGCTGGAATGAAACAAATTATAAAAAATATTTTCTAAATGATTTAGTTTTATTAAATATAAAATTTTTTTCAAACGTTAAGCATATTTCAATAAATAATTATTTACATACATAATAACGAATTAGCCATACTTCACATGTTGTAGCCTAATTATGTAATTTTATTCAAATAAAAGTTGGAAATGCTATACTTACTCTCCCTTTACATTTGGCTTTCTCAATTTAGAAAAATAATAATTAGTGGTCCACTTTCTAATGTTCAAATTGTTCGTAAAATAATTTTCATTTGTAATTGTCAACTGAAAAATAAAATTTCAAGATTAAAAATTTACATTCCTTTTCCATGAATTTGCAGTTACGTATTTTTACTCACATTCTCATAAAGTTGAGATACCAGTGAATCATCCAATAATTCTTGAGGATATCCTACGTAAGAAGCAATAGCATTTGCCTGTAAAAACACATCAGTAATTTTAAGAAAAATGCATGCTAGAATAAACACAAACCTTACATTGCAGATAAAAACATTATTGTTACAAACTTCATTTCTAAATGAATTATTACAAGGGTAAGGAATTTAAAAGTTTTTTTTTAAAAGAAATCTGTTAGATTTCCTGAATTATATTTCTTCTAAAATATAAAATCAAAGAAAAAAAGTTTTGTTTTTCATTTCCATTCAAAAATTAATCAATAATTGATTCTGTAAATTAAAGAAATTTCAATGATGAATATCTGTTACCCTTAGATCTAAATAACTGCAAACAAGTGAAAATTGGAAAAGTTATTGTTTGGGAGTGAGACGTGTTTGGAAGATTATACCTTTAACACAGAAAAAGGCACTGGTGTTTCAAGCTGCATTTCGTAACTGAAAATTATTAAAATGCTAAATATAATATCATATTTTTCACTTATTTCGATCTGAATTAATACAAAATATTTAATAAAAAAAATTTGAAAAATCTGTTTAATAAAGGTTCTGTATCAAATAATTAATGCAATTTATTTTCAAAAAAACTCGAAGTTTACAACTTTTAGAGTTGAGGGATGAACAGTAAATTAAAAACAGAAAATAGTGTTTTTGAACATCCTATACCAAAAAAAAAATGTAGCAATAAATTTGTAACTTGTAACAATTACTTTGGTTATTATATCCAATAATTTCACTAAATTTCGTAAGAAAAGCTTAAATATTTATAAAGATATCGGCATTCTTTTTTAAAAATAATTTTTTTGTCATTCGTGGTTTTGTCTCGCTCTATAATTTCAAGAATATTCAATAAAATTAAAACGAAATTTTTATAGCAATTTGAAATTAATTAAAAAATTTTTGATTTTAAATTTGAAAAAAAAATTCGTTTAAAATTATGCAATAAGTAATGTAAGCAATTCTTTTATACTGCGCATGCGCGGAAAGATTTGGCTTTTTTTTTTCAGTTCTGTAGTGAATCGTATTTGGCAATAATAAAAAAAGTACAATTTGAATTTCTTAAAATTTTAAAAAAGTTTCAATCAATTTTCTGAGCAATTTTTGTACTTTTTAAAAGAAATTCAAAATGATACGGAATTTTGTGCGAATGCTTTTTTTTTGTATCATAAGACAAAATTAAATAACAAATGATAATATCTTTCAACAAACACCGAAACATAATAGCATGAGAAAAAAAAAGCAAGGCAAAGTAAAAATACTCTTGTGGGGATCATCCCCAGCAATGCCGGTGTAATTTTTAATTAATCTTGTTTAATGGTGCAAAATAATTTTGTGGAAATAGCCCCTAATTATTTGAGCTTTTTTTTAAAAGTAAGAAAATTGCTTGAAACATTTTAAGTTTTTAAGTTATTAAAATCGGATATTATTAATTAGTTGCCAAATACATTTCACTACAAAATGAAAAGAAAATTTGAATTTTTCCCTCTCATGCGTAGTATAAACGAGCTACTTTAGTTACTCATATCTTGCGCTGTTTTAAACAAATTTTTCTCAAGCTATAATTTCAAAGCTATAATTTAAAAATAAATTTTTAATTTCACCAAATTTTTTTTTTTTAATTTTATTGACTATTTTAACAAAAATATTTAGCAAGTTATAGTAAAAAAAAGTAAGACAAAAAAAATTAGTTTTCTATAAAATGGCCATATATCTCCATTAAATATATCTCCACTGCAGAGATTTTGCTATAAATATTACTGTAAAAATTATGGTATATCTCATTTTTTGTTCCTTAAGTTTTCACGGTGAAACAATACCAGCACCCTAGTTACCAGTACATTTTACCAGAATTTGATCCTAAATTTTTTGCAGTGCAGCTATGTAAGGGTAGATAGTTAAGAGAGGAAATTTAATGGTATTAATTTCAAAAGTTTAGAAAATTACATACCTTCTCTATAGCTTGTCTCCTGGTTTCTTCATCCATCCAATCAATTTGTTTGAGAATCTCTAAAAATGCATTGCTAATATATTTCACCATCTCCGAAGCCTAAAATAAAATTTTTAATACCGAATGAAGCCTTGTTACATCAACTATATCAGCAATTTTCCAGGTACAAATTTGAACCAAATTATAAATTCACAAAATAATTTTCTTTCTGTATAAATTATTTTTTAAAATTTATGTTTATATTAAAAATTTAAAAATTTATGTTATGTTATGTTATGTTTAAAAATTTATGTTTATGTTAAAATACTGTTTTATTTTAGCAATGACTATACGCCTCAAAAATGTAAAACTTTTTACTTTTAATTACGCTTCTAAACTTGTTTTTTCAATATTGGGATTTAAATTCTTTTGTTTCATTACAAATCAATACAATTATGGCCGAACAGATGGCTTAGATTTATCGTGGATTGAATTATTTTAGAATTTAGTCATCGGGGTACTACAAAGGCCATAAGTTCTGTTTCATTCATTACAGGAATTGCAAATGCCAATTTTAAACATTCTCTATAATGATCAGGATTTCTATAGAAAGACAGAAATTTTATACAGCGACGGCAATATAAACAAATGTTTTTTTTTAAATTTTTTTTTATTTCCAATGAGCATCACAATCGGTCTTGCCGATGAGCAGACCTACTGCGTAGAATCCACTCTTTCAGGACCACCACAATGGGTGACATACCGTTGGTCGTGTTAATTTGGACGTCTAGTTTCTGCCACACTAGATGGCAGCACCGAGACTCTATTTGGATGCTGAAGTGCACTAGGAATTTAATTTTGCCAGAAATGCCAAGAGCCAATAAGGCACTCCTGGGATCTTTTACATGCCGCATAATCATATGACATGGCCGCTGAGGATTTTCTGCATCCCAAAAATCCGGTGTCTGGGTCGGGGATCGAACCAGCTAACTTGGGCTCAGAAGGCCGACGACAAACCAACTGTGCCACCCAGCCACATATAAACAAATGTAAATTCATAGATATTCCACTTTATCAACTTTAGTTATGAGTAGGCTCTGTATTAAATAGTCATAGTTTATTAAAATAATTTACTTTTAGTGCTTGCTGTTAAAACTATGGAATAAGTAAGCGATTAACTGTTCCAAAACCGGGATACTTATTTGCCACTAAATCATTTACATTATATGAAAAATTTATGAAAATCATTTAAGCAAAATGAATGCTAGAATCAAGATTGATACTTGTTTTATTAGAATTATTTATTACCCTATATGCATAAACTCTTATATAAATTTTGAAATGCAATAAATAAGTTTATTTAGTTTTAAATGTAAAAAATACTCCTAAGATACATTTTCTTATTCCTAAGTTTGTAATGAAGAAAAATAATTATCATAAGTCTTTTGAATTCTGTACATAAAATTTTCCCTTAACATAAATTATAACTAAAATATAATACGCTTAACCTTACAACTGCAAATGAAACTTATTTTAACCTAAGCATTTCTTTATTTTCGTACCTTTTGTTTGCTGTCGCCTTTGAAATAATGCTTTATGTAATATGAACTTAAAGCTATTTCAAGATTTTCTCTTAAGGAGTTCACGCATTGTTCCCACCGGGGTTTTTCTTCACGCTCCCCTGTGATTGCTAAAACGTATTCTTGTACCAGAGCTTTCCAATCTTTGGACAACATTCCTGCGGAATCTGCAACAACTCTCCACATCATATAGTTTGCAACGATTCTAGATGAAAAAAAAAAAAACTTTGTTAATGAAAGCTTGATGTGGCTCGATGCATGCTCATGTAATCAACAATTTGAAAATATTCAAGAAACGCCAATATTATTAAACAATGTCTCTAACTAATATATATAAATAATATTTTTTAACGTCATACTGAGAAGAATAAAAATATCACAATCTTGTTGTTTGGTCAGTAATTGGAAAGAAATGTAAAAATTATTGTGTTAAGTGTGCTTAATGAAACTTATTTTTAAAAATATTAAACCATTATTTTGTTTATGTAATCCTGATTAGACTGGTAGACACACTTTATGTATGAGTCATGTTATTAGTTTTTCCTTCATGTATTGTTATTAGTTTTATAACAACAATGTAAAAGAACAGACTAAGCATAACCAACCATTAAATATAGTAAAACAACATTTTATCACACAGTTATAAAATTCTCTGAAAAACTGTTATAAACAATTTATTCAATTACTATTTTATCATATTCATACAAAAGAGTCAAATAACCATAAAAAAATGGTATTTAATCTGTTAACTATGAGAAAAAATCGTTTGTCAACTGTTTTCCCCTTATACGGTTAAACAACCAGTAATTTATTCGCACCAACTAGGTTCACGTTATGAATGCACTTAGTTCCTTGCAGCTGTCGGCATATTATTACACAGATGTTTAATCTGTCAGTCTTATGACTGACTGAATGGTTGTTCGAATCCATGAGATGAAACCACAATTCTTTCATTCTTTCTTTCATTACAGGAAGAGTTTTCAGTGTTCTACATTCCCTAATAGGTGAACCCGGACCATTGGCATACGGAAACTCTCCTTCACGCACAGATAGCAACAACACAGAGCTGATTAACACAAAAAGTCTAGTATTTTCTATCTCTCACAATAGATGGCACCACTAGATGAATTAATTAAGGCACATTCCACGGTTCTTTTTGGCAGAAACACAACTAAACTAAAACCTGACTCCTATGTCCATTACCTAGCAAAAAGCCCCCATACAACCTTACTCCAAGGTCCTGCTAAATTTCATTTTTACAGTTTTGAAACCATGGCAGATATTAATGGTTACTAAACTATATAATTTTGTATTCGCGGTTTAGGTTACTGTACCAGTTATAAATGGTTTCAAAGCCGTAGAAGTGAGGAATTGTTTCTAAGCGTAAACCTTACTGTTAATCGGATGGATAGTTTGCTGCCAGTTGTTTGCTGTAATTTTATCTAGAATGAAAATTTCAACAGTGCAGTGTATTGCTGGTGAAATTTCAAGTATATTTGCTCGGTCAACGATTGAAAAGTACATAAAAAGTGTGTTTTTACAGCTTGTCACGAAAAATATTGAAACAAGATTTTGTTATTGCGATCATGTTGTTGTGTCACAACTACCAGAAATAGGACGTGAGTTGTACTAAATAATTTATTTAAACATTCACACGAAAAATCATAAAATATTACCCAAAAAATATCTCTTCTCAGAAAAAAACTCTCTTTTTCAACTCCACAAAAAAGAACATCACTTCTCCTGTGTGTCTCTCAAGCAACATCATTTTAGCCTTCCCTCTCGAGGAATTGATGCTTTTAGCTCAGTTGTCACACTGTTACGTTACAGTCTAACTCCTCCCTTCCACAGAGTTTTCTTTGCAAAAGTAGGAAATGGCAAAAAAACATACATAAAATTTTGTCAAAACTGATCTATATAGGTTGACATAAAACTGTTTTGTTTATCGGTATATAGGAAAATAAAACAGTAAAGGAAAATAAACAGGAAAATAAACAGTAAAATTGTAGTCACGAATCTTTTCAGTGAGTAAGTCATCGTTTTTCGCCGTTTGATCAGAAGTAACGATGTGTTCATTGGAATCGACTATACCGAGCTGTACATTATCTTTATTTTCCACTTCCCTCCTTTCATTCATATTTTCTTGTTTTCGAGTCATTACAGCACTTATCATTGGGACTTCAAACGAATTTTCCAATAGAGCAGCCGTTTTGTTACCCAATAAATAATACCCTTTATCAAGAGAATCACCTAATACAGCTGCCTTAGTAACCACTTTTCCTAACTTACAGTTTAATTCAACTTCGGCTAATGGAAAACAAAATGATTCTTCCTGTATTGGAGTTTTTATCCAAACAGATTCACCCGTGTACATTTCAGGTTTTACAAATCTCCTAGGAATTAAATCCAAGGTTGCGCCAGTGTCTCGTAGTATTGAAATGCCAACGCCATTTACCACGCCAATGCTCGTATATGGTGTCATTATACTATCAGGAAACCTTGATTCCGAAACGTGAAGCGAAGCCACAGTTTCAGAATTTGTTTTCGCCTTGGGACATTGAGGGCGTAGATGATCATAAGAACCACATTCATAGCATCTAAGCTGTCTTCTTCTTTCAAATTCTCTTTCGCGAACATTTTCTTTAACATTATTTTTCTGCCAAGTCAACTTTTCTTCAGTTCTGGTATCACTTTGGTTCAGAGATCGCCAAGAATCATCTTGGTTACTTCGATTATAAGACACAGACTTTTCCTTGAAACTGTTTTTTAAACTTTCATAGTCGTCCAATTTTCCGGCTAATTTGGAATAAGAATTCAATTCCATCCAATCTTCAAGAAAATGATCTCTCATGTCATTTGGTACATGACGTTTCATTTGCTCGGTAACCATCAAACTCTTAAGATCATCGAAAGTGGTAATTTTTACTTCAGAAACCCATTCGCTAAAATAGCAATTTAATTCTTGTGCAAAATTTCGCCAAGATTTTTCAGGTGATTTAAAATGTCGATAAAAATTTTGTTTGAGTTCCTTTGCATTAAGCTTATATTGTTTAAGAATCAATTCTTTTACAAAGTCGTAGTTATTGGCATCATTAGGAGACTCTCTCGCCAACATATTTGAAATGTCGGGTGGTACTACGTTCAATAGGTAAGGCACCCATTCATCTTTAGGAATTCGTGCAATTTCTGCTCGACGTTCAAAATTTATCAGATACAACGACATTTCATCTTTACCTTCATTGAATTTTGGAGTTATTTGTAAAATCTGTATTTTATGATTTGTTTCACGTGATACAGGTCTGTTTTGGTGCTGAATTTGAGAATTTGCTTCTAATTCGAGTCTACGCATTTCCAATTGATGTTGCCGTTCAAGTTCTTCTCGCCGTTCTTGTCTTTCAAGTTCTTCTCGCCGTTCTTGTTTTTCAAGTTCTTCTCGCCTAATTCTCTCCTCCGTTATACGAGTCAAACACATCTTTACATCCTCAACCTCATAATGTTTACTAGTTTGAATTATTTTTTTAATTTCACAAACATTTGCTTGAGGTGGAACAGATTCACCTAATTCGTCGGCCAACTCTATCAAATCCACTTTTTTCGCTTTATTAAGAAAAGCTGATAAAAAACTACATATACAATCACTGACTACCTTAAATCAACTACTCTTACTATATCCCACCGCTGCCACCAGTAAAATTCTGTTGTGTCACAACTACCAGAAATAAGACGTGAGTTGTACTAAACAATTTATTTAAACATTCACACGAAAAATCACAAAATATTACCCAAAAAATATCTCTTCTCAGAAAAAAACTCTCTTTTTCAACTCCACAAAAAAGAACATCACTTCTCCTGTGTGTCTCTCAAGCAACATCATTTTAGACTTCCCTCTCGAGGAATTGATGCTTTTAGCTCAGTTGTCACACTGTTATGTTACAATGTGAAGATTTAAAGTATTATTGGATGGAAAATATTTGAAAAGAATATGAAAAGTGCTAACTATAACCTATCATTAAAAATATTAAAATAATATTTTGCTGGAATAAATATGAAAAGATGTGAAGCGTTGTTGCCTGTTTAACAATGGAAAAGAACATGAAGGCGGTTTACTATAGCTTATCATTAAAAATATTAAATAAAATAAACACGTCTAAATAATGAAAAAAAATTCATATTCAGTCGGGTAATTAAAGCTATAAGGCGCTTTATTCCATGATAAATACATGAAAGGTGATTTTTAAGTTCTGCACTCTTGCAGTTTAGAACCACCCCCCCCCCTCAAAAAAAATCACTTTTAAAATTGAGAATAAGAGAATGATTCTGAAAAAAAAAATCACACTTATTTTCTCGTTTTTTTTCTCGGTGAAAGTATTATCTATAAACTTTGATTCAAGCCATGCACATCAAAACACTTTTGAGGGAGTAAATCATTGTAGTTAGACAGTTGTCTATGCGTTTTTTCAAGTTCGGAAGCTTGAGTTAGCATATTTCTTTCAGAAAATGTACTTTAGTATTATATTTAAGGGCTTTTTTAAAATACTATAATCGTAATGAAAATAATAAACGTTACTCTTAGATTAAATTTTGGTCGGATCGTACAGATTTGGCTCAAATTTTGGCTACAAAGATGCAGTTTTTATGGCTTTGCAGAGTCAATTAATTAGAAAAGACTATATTTTAATTTAAATTAAAGTAGCCCTTTTTCTGAATAAATAGCCTCTTTTTTTGATGCATTTGAATTTTTATCTCCCCCCTCCCCAAAATACGAAATAAAAGTGGTGGTGTGGTCGCAATCTGAAAGATATGGCCTCAATAGTTCAAGTTGGAAGATTGGATGAAAGTTTTAGCTTTTAATGACTGTTTTATACTTCTTATGCATTTCGCTCTATATATGAAGTAAATTAAGCAAAAAAAAATATTTTAGTACCCATTTATGAAAAATGTTTACCCAAAAACAATATCTAGCAAAAATTACTTTTAAAAATTGCTTATCACTTTTATTAATTGGGTAGTTTTACTTCAAGAAGAAGATGATCACGGATACCCACACATGTGACCTATGATGTCAGCGGCAGATGATAATTTATAAGCAAAATGGAGCGTTAAAGTCGAGTTAAGTTTCTCCACATAAGTCAGAATGCTGAATAACTTGAAATTAATTAAATACTGTGCCGTATTGTGCATCGAACTTGTTGAAATATAATTCTCTCTCGTCTACTTTCTTTACTTAACTTATTTATTATTTGTTTATTTATTATTTGATTTATTATTTATCAAATTATAAATCAAATAATAAATAAACAAATTATAAATGAATAAATAAACAAATAATGTATAATATTGACTTCTGATTTATTCTTTGTTTATGTATTTTATTAAAACCGTGATATATCTTTGCTTCATGAACCTGGCAACTTCAATGCATAACTAGTTTCTTTCTGTTCCACATGGCTTCGAGCCTGTCTTTGCGTTAAGAAAGAAATACTTCAATGCATAACTAGTTTCTTTCTGTTCCACATGGCTTCGTGCCTGTCTTGCGTTAAGAAATAAATACATACCTGCCAACTTTTAATCCTTTCAAGGATGAATTTCCCCAATGGTAGTAATATGGAATTGAAAAGTTCAATTTCAGGTAGAAACATACGCTGTATTTTGAACAAGTTTATGACAACTAGCGCAACTGTGTTACAAATTTATATATACGCTTTTTTTTTAAAAAAAATTATAAATTAAGTTAATAAATGCAAGAAATCAATAGGAAGCTTACATTTTGTTNCACATGGCTTCGTGCCTGTCTTTGCGTTAAGAAATAAATACTTCAATGCATAACTAGTTTCTTTCTGTTCCACATGGCTTCGTGCCTGTCTTTGCGTTAAGAAATAAATACTTCAATGCATAACTAGTTTCTTTCTGTTCCACATGGCTTCGTGCCTGTCTTTGCGTTAAGAAATAAATACTTCAATGCATAACTAGTTTCTTTCTGTTCCACATGGCTTCGTGCCTGTCTTTGCGTTAAGAAATAAATACTTCAATGCATAACTAGTTTCTTTCTGTTCCACATGGCTTCGTGTCTGTCTTTGCGTTAAGAAAGAAATACACAGTGAAGAAATATAAATCTTTGTGAAAGAATCTTTGATAAAATATAAAGAATGTGTCACTTAAGACAATTGATACTTGACGGGCTTAGCTAACTCGAAATAGAATTAAAAGAATAGTTGCTAACGTTAGCAAATGCCACGTTTTAGCAACCAATCAGGATCGAGATATCCACATCACGCTTGCAGATATTCCAGTAATCTCATAATGTTCAAAAATTACTTAAGTTTAAGGGATAAAAAATTCAAATTCTTTTAACCTAAGTAAGTTTAAATAATAAAAGGAAATCTTTAGCAAAATCATTAAATAGTTTTTAAAATAAAATTTTTTCCTTCAAAAAAACTTTTTAAAAATATTTTACTTTTTAGGAACTATTTAATCGATTATAGTTAAAATTTTATTTTTTGCAAGCTGAAAATTCACTTATTCTCAACAAAATGTGATTAATATATTACGAGAAATTTTATTGAAGTATCCATTCAAAAACAATCACAATATAGTGAAAAAAATACAAATATCTTACATTTATGAAGTAGAAATAATACCTTTTATCTGTTTTAGCAATGAGCTCTCCAAATTGCTTCAGAAAGTTCGCAACCATTACAATCAAGGTTTCAGTTTCAGTAATAGGATCATTCAGAAGTCCATTCAAATATTTGAGCCAATCAATCTACAGAACATTAAATAATACACTTGCAAAAATATCTTAATGATATTAAAAAAAATATTAATTTGGTAGCTAAGCAATTGAGCTGAAGCCAAATTGCTTGATGTGTTAATTTGACATAGTAACAGCCAATGTCTAAAAAAATTAAGTTTCGTGATTTCACTCTTCGAAAACATCAATTAAATTGGCTTCAACCCAATTCCTTCAGGAAACCCCTCATTACTGACTTTGATTGTTCCAGAATCTTAACATCAACAATTACAAGACTAAGAACAAACCATTTTAAAGGGATGAAGAATGGATAGCGTTTATTATGTGAACATATGTCCATATTTGGAGCCCACGGCCTCGAAATAAGCATCTTTTAAAATTATGCGAACAAAATCTTAAATCAGGGTAAAATTTTCGGAGTCATCACTGGATGTACAAAAATATAATTTTTTTCTTCTATGACCGCAATGTTCTTCATGTATTCAAAAAACTGCACATACACTGTGTCATGTCTAACTGTTTTTTTTTCAATGCACTATAGAAGGCTCTTTTGAGCTCTAAATAAGACAATGATAGGACACTTGAGCTGCTACAGTACTTATTATTTTCGTCATCGGTTTAAGCGTGGTTGCTGGCAACTCAGTTCAGACAAATATTTAAAAAAGAAATAACGGTTTTAATTATGCTTTCAGATTGAATATTTCAGACGAGATTCTTTATACACATAAACGTCATCTATAATGTTCGTTTTGCCCTCACAAAGTTATAAAAAAAATCTAATTTAAAATATTTAGCCTGCCTACCATAATTTCAACCGTTAACATAATGTTCAATAAATCGTTACTTTTTGTGTACTTGTCTTCTAAGTTAGAAGGATATAAATATACATGATTACATTATTATTTATGTTAAAATTATGAACTATTATAATAGATGAAAATGTATTCAGTGTTTTAAATAAATTTAAGAACAAAATGAATCAATTTTACCTGTGGAACCAGTTCTCGTAATTGAGAAATAGTATATTTGTGGTACATACTATCATAATCTCTTCTTTCCTCTCTTGGCAAGGAATACTAAAAAAAGAATTTTTTTTCGCATAATTATGAAAGAAGATGAACAACAAATTTAATTTCTATACAAAATTGTTAAAAAAAAAAAGCATTTTAAGCTTTCATTAAATGTAAAGATCGAAACACTTGCTGCTCTTAGAGATTTGTCGCAAATGCATGTCTGCACTTTCGAAAAATTTATTCATCTTTGAACCATAATGCTACGCTTAAGGTGTTAAATTCAACCTGGTCACATTAGCAAGTCTAAATTTTTAGCGTTGAACCATAACTATGAAATTTGTGCTACGCATAAGACGTTAATTTGAACACGATACCAGCTTTGTATTATTTTTCAGAAAATTTGAACGTCATTTTAGTTCAGCATGCTTCAACTGTTTCTATAACGCATCTAATGGAGTGGGAATAACAGATGTCTCCCCCAAACAATTTACTATAAGTGTAAAGGTGAACTAATCTATTTTATTTTAAGCATAGAGTGTTTAAAAAAAATGCTAGCTTACAATTCTATTTTGCTTAATTTTCAGTTATTTTAGAAATGAAAGAAAAATATTCTCAAATTTTTTGTTACCGTATATCTCCGAATATAAGCCCATCCCTGTATAAGCCGAAGAGTAAACATTTTATTTGGAAATTCACCCAAAATTCTAAACTCGTATGTAAGCTAACTTGTTAAGAAAAAGCATGCTACTCTTGGAAATAAAAAACCTCCCCTCCTGTAGTAACGGTTGCACAATAGGTAAAAGAATTCGTAATTAGAAAATAATAGCATTCCTTTCAAATTGTCCTTTCTATGTGTTTCTTTTTCAATTTTAATTTTTATACAATCCATTTTCAACATTATTTTAAGTATATACGCTTTACGATATTCACTGATTATTACTAATGCTCGACAGAAGAAGTATATTTTTTTTTTGCCAATGCCCCCTCGTTAAATTTTTTTAAAATTCGTGGATCCGATTACAAGGAGATCTCACTACTTTAGCTTTCAAAAATTTTCAAAACATTTTCGGCTTATATTTAAAAATATATGGTAAGTAGTATTGACTTGGAAATTTGAAAAACTAAATTGAATTTGAAATTTTAAAAATGTTCTAACTAATTTAAAAATTTTATCATTTAAAGATTGCTTAACCGAATTAAAAATCTAATAATTTATAACTTGCTTAGTTTAATTGAAAATCTAATGAATATTTGAAACTATCTAAATTGAACAATTTAACCAGTTTGAGAGGTTAAATTATAAAAAGAAACGCATTAATATAAATTACATCTGCGTTTTGTAAATTTTGATGAATAAGTAATTCCAGAAGAATGTTAATTAGGAATGTTTACCAACAATCAAAATTCTATAAAAATTTAGCGGAGGAAAATATTTATTTGCATTTTCAGAATAAAATAAGACACTTGTTAATAATATGTATTTATTTGATCATAACACAAAATTCATAAGAGCACGGGGATTTTGGATGCAACTTGTAAAAGTAAACGTATATTAAGGTAAAATATATTTGGTTTAAGTTAATTTTACTTTTTTATATGACTAGTTAATTTGATTTAAACAAAAACTATTGAAAATTATTCCAACTTAAGAGAACCTTTTTTAAAAAATGTTATTGTAAAATCATAAAAAAGGAAGTAAATGTTTGAACTTAATATAAAATTAATGAAAGTAACTAAAATTACTTACATTTGCTAAAGTTATCTCAAAATTCAAAGCTTCCAATAATTCTTTCTCAACTGTTTCTTCATTAGCTCCTAATTTTTTAGCAGCTTTGACCATCAAATTAAAATAAGCTTTGGTGCCGGAGTCGCTCAGACCACTTACTAAGTATGTCCGATCTGGCATTCCCAAGGATGTTTGGTCCAGCTAAAGAAAATATGGTTTAAATTTATTACACAAAACAAAACAGAAAAAAATCGCTTATTTAAAAAATTGTATGCTCTCATACTAACGCACAACACAGCAATGTTTTTTTAGAAATAACTGATGAACTTAGACTGAGAATATTAAAAATAATGGCACACTTCACAATCTATCTTAAATTTGAAAATGACAGGAAACAACATTTATTTTCACTTCGGTCAAATTTTGGTTGCCAACTATGGGATTTTTCAGCCTAATTCCTCTGGTACTTTTTTGAAATATTTGACCTTCGAGTCTAATAGCCGGGTCTTCCCTACGTGTAATAAGTGCATCCCCTAGTGCATTCCAAGAGCATCCAAGTATGCCCTACGTGTACAATGTCAAACCTGCTTTTCTCGATCATGTCCTTGCTTGTATGGATCTAGAACTTGCAGATGGCAGGATGGCAAGAGAATACTCCGTCATATTTATCTACATTTATCTATTATATATAATTCTCTTACGTGGCTCCCAAATTTTGACTGTATTTCTTTTCCGCCGGTGGCAACGTTTGCTTTGTTTTGAAAACACCAAAGCATTCTGACTTTTAATGGTGTGTTTCTGATATGATATATATAATTCTCTTACGTGGCTCCCAAATTTTGGCTGAAGTACTTTGTACAACTAAATAAGATTCTTTTCACAACACTTAAATATTTACTTTATTTTCTTCACCATATTTTATTGAA